TTTTTTTTTTTTTTTCTCAAAGAGAGGGAGCGGACGAATATACGAATATACGGGAGAAAAGTGAACAACGAAGATAACTTAGAAAACGTCGGGGGACGAAACGAAAAAGATAAGAAAAAGAATCTCAAGAGAGGCGAGAACAACAGAGACGAGTGTAAAACAGAGACTAAGACAAATAACAGAAAGATAGACGGTAGAAAGTACAGTGAATTTACAAGTGGGACGCGACGTCTCTCTGTTCCCGTTGTTCTGTTAATCATATGCTTATCTAAGCTGAGGACAAGTTGACAGGGAAATAAATAATACGAGTTATCACAAAGAAATGCAGTTTATTTACCACACCAACAAACTGACGCAAGTCTATTCACTAGGAAAAAAGAGTACAAAAAAATGTTCAAATGATCAACGAGAATGACGTATAGCGGGAGCGGGAATGGCTTGGTCACGCGTTGCGCGGTCAGACGAGGATCGTACCGGGCGCGTTTGAAACGGCCAAACACACAACTCTTATTGCGAACTCGTCGATTCTTGAAAATTTCATAAAATTATAAAATCTAAATGTATGGAAGGCACAACGACGAGGAAGTATTAAGCGAATCCTCGAAATTTTCTTTCACGGCTCCGGTTGCCATTTACAGAGATGGAGTTTGATAATTTAAAGAAAATTGCAAATGAAACGTCGCGTTGACTCGTTAACACGTCGATGGATCGTTGAAGCGTCCGCGACCGGTACCGGTGAAAGTTCGTGCAATTTTTAAATTACTTTTAATTCATCTCAGAGCGAGCATCCCGTTCGGCGAATAATTATTGCAGTGCAAGTAAACACAAAATGCAGAGATAAAAAAGAGATTTTCCTTAATTCTCGGGGGATGGAGGGGGGTGGGGCATTTCTCGGCCCCGGTAAATGCAGTTATCATCCTGTCATTTACAAGCAAGCGAGGGGAAATAATATTTTCTCGACATGGAGAGGAGACGGACTCGGAGCATTGGCTCGTTCAGTCGAAACGCGTCATACCGCGTGACACGTGCCATTAGCGCGACCAGTGTGGTTTCCGTCGACGGAGACGATATCAGAAAGCGTTTACTTCAGCGTGGGCTTAAGCTGCACTGCAGGAGGACGGTTTTTCTCTTACTACGTACGCTTAGTATTGCCGACTAAGCGATCATTCGTTTCATTTCTTTTCATTTCCGTGTCTACGAAGCTACGAAGTATATTGAGCAATCAGCGGGGATTAATCATCGCGGGTGATGAACGTAGGAACAAGAAAAGTTACACTAACGATCGTACGTACGATTATCACAATATATAAAATGCAAGTATTTCACCAGACGATAAATACTCGAGCCGATTGAGTCTCTGAACCCGGTTGTCCGTAGAACTCCGTTTGTTCGTTTGCTTTCGAATATCGGCGATTCCACGCGAATAGTGGCGATAGCATCGATGATGCATCGATTGGAAGACGTTGGAGATGCCGGGCAGCAGTTTCCCGAGACCGGGTGACAAATAAATAAATAACTCGCGAATCTAGATGAAACATGCCGTTCGTAAGTACTTGGAATTCAATTGAAAGATTAATATTTTTGGTGCAACAACTGGGCTGCCAATGTTCTGCCAAATTGAAACTGCGTTTCTGCAGATGTTTAACATTTCTATAGTTTAATTTTATGTAGCAATCAAATGGTCCTTCAACATTGTTATTCTTCCCCCTTTTTCTCTTTGGTGTTACAAAGCTAACACTTTTAAAAAAATATTTACGAACGGTAGTTTCTCGGAGAAGTCCTATTCTCCCTTTTGTTCGTTCGATCGCTTCCTTCTCGATGTCTGTTTTTCTTTTACCGGTTTAAAACAAACCCATCTTCGCGCGCGAGAGAAACACGAACGCGCGGGAGTGAAAGGGAGAAGATTCGAGCGAGGATAAAAATAACAAACGAAATGCAAAAGGAGAAACTGCTGCATCGGACCAACTTGCTGTTGGAGTCAGTCTCGTTCGTATTCGGTGAGAGAGTAGCGTTTGCAGTCTTTTACCACCTAATACCGACGAACAACGACGAAAAAAAGACATGACGAGAAC